AAGGGCAGAACGTAGGAGACAAAGCAAGGGTCTTCTCTCAAGTCTAGAGGCTCATGTATTAAAGGAAAGAGTGAGCAAGTCTGAAATTGTAAGAGAGATAGAGAGAGTTGGAAGAAAAGTAGCTGGAAACTAGTGAGTCAAGAAGAGGAGAGAATTCTCAAGTGTATCAAGGTGTTGAGCAGGGTGAGAGAGAAACAGATTGTGTGGGTAGTGTTCTAAGGGGGTTTCCTTTTGTAAACCAAAGTTGTAACCTATCTTCACTAGTGAAATTTCTCAAGGGGATCACCAAAGAGGATGTAGGCAAATTGCTGAACCTCTATAAACACTTGTGTCTTTTTGTGCTTGATTATTTTCTGTCTGTGTGTGTAAGATTCATCCATCTTGGAGTCTTGTCAAAAGTCCATCAACAACAAGGTCTAAAGGGGAGTGAGTTGGTTCTAATTCACAACAATCTATATGCTTGTTTTGATTGCTATTCTTGTGAATTATACAGGGGCTATCTCTGTTATGGCTTCCTAATGAATATAAGAGCGAGGACTACGCAGCAATGGCTAGGATATTCTATGGAGCTGTGGTACTATTAACATTAGGCGAATCTGGGCGATCCGCTGCTTTGAAAGAATTTCTTAACAAGCAATGTTTAAGCAAACATAAAGAAACAGGACACACAGATGACAAAGGACCGGAAGGATGGGAAGAAGCTAGCGAACATAAAGAAATAAGAGCAGAAAAGCATACAAAAGCTGGTGGTGATCAACAGGTGACGAAAGAAACAGCAGAAAGGGATAAAAAGGACTTCTGGGGTGTTCCATGGTGGTGATCAACAGGTGACGAAAGAAACAGCAGAAAGGGATAAAAAGAACTTCTGGGGTGTTCCATGGTTTTTAGGTGCAGTGGTACCTCTTTTCCTTTTTAAAACAACTTGGACTCAGATCTTCATGATTTCAACAATTGCAATGGCAGTTTCTTATTTATTGTTCTGGTTTGGCTTCAACGATTATTTGAAAAACAATAAAGAAGCACAAGCCGGGGAGCATCCCCAAGTCACGGAAAGAGAGAACCTTTGGACACTGAACAAAAAGGTGGGCAAGAAAAAACGTTTGCGCAAAGAAATTGTAGCTTCATGGTTAGCCTTCTTTGTATACAGTATGGTAAAGGCAGCGGGGAGCACCTTCTTTTTCGAACAAATGAGTAACTTTGAAAAATCCCATCCCCAATTATGACCCTGCAGTTTATTTCAATGTGCTTAGCTCCTTTTCGAAGTACATAATCTCATTTCTCTTCCTCAGACTAATTCCAAAGCGAACGCGGATGAGAATTGGCTGTGGAATGGCGTCTACTGTGTTATGTTGCGTTGTTGCTTGGGTGGTTGAGATCCACAGGATTAGGAAAGTTATGAGGGCAGGGCTTGAAGATGACACTTCAGAAAGTACTATTTCTATGAGCATGTTTTGGTTGGTTCCACAGTTCTTCCTGTTAGGACTTATGGAAGGGTTAGCCGTAGATGGATTGATTGATCTTTTGGCTGATAGAGTGGACGAGAAGGATAAAGAAATGGCTAAGCATTATGGATCCCACACCAGCGACTTAGTCGTGGGGATTGGAAAGTTATTAACCGCTCTTATTATCTTGGCATTTAGGCAAAGATGGTTCAATGACAACATAAATCTGAGTCGTCTGGTCAAGTATTACAGACTGCTAACGGTTCTAAGTCTCATTAGCTTCGTCTACTACTTGTGTGTTGGCTTTTACTTTTATAGAAAGGATAAGGATGACACACAAAACTCTGCCACTGAAGAACATGAACAAGGCCATAATGGAAGTGGAAATATGGAAATGGCGACTGTTTAGATCTCCTAACACATGAGTAATTAGCAATGAGTTTTTAAACAGATTTATATATATGTTTAAATTGCATGAAAGTTTGTACGTTTTTGGGGTCTTTTTCCTTTGACTAAGAGGAGGAAACAACACTGCTCTGTTGTCCGGTGAAAGTTTCTAAAGTTTTGTACTTTGTCCAAGCTTGATGTTCAGTATGTAAAATTTATATCCTCAATATACAAGCACATTTTTGACGTCTCTCTTCTGTGCTTAAAAGACATGTCTTCAACCTCTGAGTCTTCAACATCTTATGTTGGCAAGTCATGAAAGTTCCAAATGTGACAAACATTTTCTATTCTTAGTGTTAGTTTAGGAGAGAAGAGGGTTGGAAAATAGTTGATAGTGTTTAGGACAATAACTTAACTAAGAAAGGAAAACTTTTTGAAATAAAGAAGGGCACAAGGCTTTAGAGTTGGCTAATGGGAGGAGTTAGGCAGCTGTAGATTTCAGCTTTCGTTAATTACAATTTTGTATAGGCATCAAGCCTATATATAGGAGACTTAACCGACATAGCCCAAGTTCCACCGACTTAGCTTCTTCATTTACAGCCACTAGCTTATATAACTTTCTAGACTTAACTATATTATTCTAATATAATATCTAGTTAATGCAGTCTTACTCTAGAGAATTCCTCCATTGATATTTATCTTTAGCCATATGTGTCTTGCTTTGGAAACTTCATCTTTCTTAGAGATTGATGAGTAGCCGACTTTACCATTTCTTCAAGCGTCTAGATTTTTCTATATATTTTTTGGCACAAATATGCATTAATTTCAACACTTAGGATAGGACGTTTACTTTTGGATTGAGGCATTCAAAAAAGGGTACGTTCACATATAATAAGTGCTTTGAGATGCGCAAACTGCAATTTTCGTTAACGACAACCACTAGGAGGTATATTTATAATAATAATCACTAAAATTATGACAGGGATCCTGAGATTCATCAGATCTTATAGATATTATGGCCATTTTCAAACTTTGACCGCACCCCAAAGGATTACTGAAATATATTTTTCCAGTCATATGGTTATTGGAATTAACAATGGGACGTGTGTTGGAAAAAAATGGCTCACCTAAAAGGATACAAAGTTTTTGGCGCTCAAAGGATGATTTTGAATCTGCCTAAAAGCGACCGGTCGCTGGACATTTGCGACCGGTCGTTTTGAAGCAGATTCGAAGTCTCGTAAGTAATCGACGAGCGACCGGTCGCTAGTTCTTTGCGACCGGTCGCAGGCACACGAGCGACCGGTCGCTGGACATTTGCGACCGGTCTCTTAGAAGCAGATTCAAAGTCTGGAGGGAAAACTTCTGGCGACCGGTCGCCCATTCCTGACGACCGGTCGCTCCAGTCGTGCTGTGATGTTTTGCTTACGTATTTTCAACTGTCTTTTCAATGGCTATCGCTTTCCACAAGTTTGCAGGTGCTTAATGGATCACTTCTGAGGTAAAAGAGGGTTGACTACCTGCTGGATAGTTGGGAGAGCACTCATAGCTAATTGGTTATCCTATTTTGATTAATCTCCTCTCCATTTTCTGGTTTAATGGAGGTGGCT